AACAAGAACATATTCCTTTTAAAAAATTCTCTCCCTCATCTGTTTCAATGAAGTATACATTATTTATCCCCTCTTTTCTTAGGTTGCCCCCAACCCTGATGTCAGTCACATTTTACAACAATGGCACTATGCAGTATTTGTCCTTTTGTGACTGAGATATTTCACTCAGCATAATGTCCTCCAGGGTCACCCAATCTGTATAACATTTCATGAGTTCTTTGTTTTTCAATGCAGCATAGTATTCCATTGTGTTAATATACCACAGCTTCTCTATCCATTTCTTTGTTGATGTGCACTTGAGTTGTTTACAACTTTTTGCTATTTTGAACATGGGTGTGCATATATCTGTTTGGGTGGCAGTTCTGGTTTCTTTAGGACATATTCCAGTAGTGGAATTGCTGGGTCAGATGGTATTTCTATTTCCAACTTTTTGAGAAAGCACCATGCAGCTTTCCATAGTGGTTGCACCATTTTACACTCTCACCGATAGTGATTAAGGGTTACAGTTCCTCCACAACCTCACTAGTATTTGTTGTTTGCTGCTCTGTTGAATTTTGCTATTCTTACTGGGGATAAGATGATATCTCATAGTTGTTTTGATGTACATCTCTCTTAAGAGCTAGGGATTTTGAACACTTCTTTGTGTGTGTTTGCCATCTGAATGTCTTCTTTGGTGAAGTGTCTGTACATATCCTGTGACCTTTTTTCAAATGGGTTGTTTACCTTTATCTTGTTGTGGTGCTCGAGTATTCTATAAATTCTAGGTATAAGTCCCTTATCAGACATATCATTGTCAAATTTTTTTTTCAGTCTATGGCTTCCATTTTTACCCTGTTGGAGAAGTTTTTGAATGTACAAAGGGATTTTATTCTTAGAAGGTCCCATTCATCTATTTTATCTTCTCCTGGTTGTAGGTTTTTTAGGCTGCTTGGAAGACTGTTTATGTTGTGCATTAGAACTTCTTGAGTTCTTCCAAGCTTTTCTCTACTGAAGTTTATGGTCCTTGGTTTTAGTTCTGGGTCCTTGATCCACTTTGAGCTGGTTATTCTGTATGGTGTGAAGTGTGGATTTTGCTTGAGTTTTCTACAGAGAGTTTTCCAATTTTGCCAACACCATTTGTTAAAAAGACTGTTGTTTCCCTACTTAACTGATTTCATCTCCTTGTCAAAAATCAGTTGATCATAGGTAGATGGGCTGATTTCTGGATTCTCATTTCTATTCCATTGATCTATTTGTCTGTCATTGTACCAGTACCATGCAGTGTGGTAGGATTTGAAATCAGGGAGTGAGGTGCCTCCTACCTTGTTTCTCTTTTTAAGGGGTGCTTTGCTTATTTGGGGCCTCTTTCCGTTCCAAATGTAATTGGAGATTGTGTTTTTCCATCTCGTTAAAGAATGGAATTGGTATTTGTATTGGGATTGCATTGAATGTAAATTGCCTTTGGTAGTATTGTCATTTCTACAATTTTGAGTCTTCCTATCCATGAGCAAGGTATATACTTCCATTTCTCAAGGTCTCTGTTTCTTGTAGTAATGTCTTGTAATTGTCTTTGAACAGATCCTTTGTGCTTCTGGTTAGATTTACTCCCAACTATTTAATCTTGTGATTAGCTATTGTGAAGGGTATTGTTTTTCTTAGCTCCAGCTCTGTATTCTCTTTGTCAGTGTAGAGAAATCCAACTGATTTTTGTATGTTGATCTTGTATCCTGCCACTTTGCTGAATTGGTCAACTATGTCCAGTAGTTTTCTTGCAGAGTCTTTAGGGTTTTCTAAGTATACCAACATATCATCTGTATATAGAGGTAATTTTATCTCCTCTTTGCTAATTTGGGTACCTTTTATTTCCTTCTTTTGTCTTACTGCTATCGCTAAGACTTCCAGTACAATATTGACTAGGAGAGGTGATAGTGGGCATCCTTGCCTAGTTCCTGTTCTTAAAGGCAATGCCTTTAATCTCTCTCCATTGAGAACAATGTTGGCTCTTGGGTTTGCATATATAGTCTTTA